GGGAGCTGGATGGTGGCACCTCAAACCTGCCTGCCGTGAGCCCAGATGGAAAATCTCCCCCTCTGCTGCTCAAGCCCTCTGTCCTCTGGTGTCAACGGTGATCGATGGAGCCACCAAACTGTATGGAGCTGGTTAGCAGTCTACCAGCTTGGGTGGTCATGTGCACATGAAGGGCTCTGGAGCTGCCCAGACCCTTCAGAAAGGGGTGTCACAGGGTTGAAGATGCTCTGACTGTCCCTTTCTTTCACAGAAAGGTGTTTTATGAGCTCTTTGTAGGCAGGTGCTCTCTGGTAGATTCTGCACAGCTTGTCTGGGCACTGCTGCTGCTGAGGGAGATCCTGAGGAGACGCAGTGACTCACTGTGCTGCTACATCACAGCCCAGTTGGATTCCATGATAATCACTGCTGGCTTTTCCTGATCAGGACCTCACAGCAAGCCTCTGCTTCAGGCTCTGTCCCTTCCTCATCCGGACTAGGAAGAGCTGCAAGTGCACATTACCTGATTGAACTATTTCCGTAAGACGTAGGCAGCAGCTGCAGCTTGGCTGTGGAGGGAGGATGTGTGTGCCTGCTGTCTGGAGAGGGAGGTGGGTGTGCAGCAATTTAATTTTACAGCGGGCAAATGCTAAGGCAGCTGAGCCACTTTATGAGGGCAGGTTGGACTTGATCTTGGCCTTGGTTTGCAGTAGGAAAATGACCCATTAATAGTCAGCATCAACTAGACATGGCAGGGCCTTTCCTAGGTAGAGCCGGTCTGAGTATCAGGTGCTGGAAGCAGTTTGGTGCAGTGTGAAAGGGTAACCCAACGCTGTTCCAGCTGCAGAGGTCTGGGACTGCTGTGCTTCATCCTCTGCCCTGAGGATCTGCCCAGGGCTCCCAGCTCTGCCCATGGTGGAGGGAACTGGTTTCTTGCTCTTGAGTTGCAGTTGCTACAGAAGGACAGGAAGAAACACTGAGGATCAAGCGGCGTGAGCCTGTCAGCCTGCGGTGGGGAACACCAGTGTCAAAGGGCTCCCAGAAGAGATGAGATGTGGGTGGGACAACTCGGGCTGTGTGATTTCACTTGTGCAGACCCTGGAGCTCCATGAGGTTGAGGACATTACCTGAGGCTCTTTGACCAGGCTTGTTCACTTCCAGCCTCCTGCAGTTAATAAGCTGCCAGCCCAGTTCTTTAGCACTAGTTGGGGGTTGAGCAGGCAGTGTAACTCAGTAATTCAGGCACCTCCCAGACTGTGCTTCTGGAGCTGTGAGGGTTGCTGCAGGCCCAGGAAGGGGCTGAGGCAGGAGCCTGGGGAAACCCCCTGCTAACCAGCCTGCCCTGGGCAGCTCCATGGGGAATATTATCCAGGTCTTGTAAGAGGAAATGTTGGGGTTGCTTGGCCAGATGGGATCTGTCCAGACTGCTTCCCAGCTAGATGTGCTGGAACAGGGAGCTCAGAAGGAGATGAAGCTCCCAACCTCACGAGCAGTGGTGGGATGTCCTGGTAGTGAGCTGCTCCCTGCCTGCAGGAGCAGGTGCCTCCTAGGCTACAGTGAGTTCCAAAAGAAACCTTCAGTCCTGTTCAGTGTAACTAGGGAAATTGGCCCTTATCCATATACATGTCTAATCCTCTTTGCTTCCTCAGGATTTGCTGCTGCAAGAAGTCTGTAGGCCGCCTTACCAGGCACTTCGTTAAAAATACTCTTTGTCTCTTTATTGGCCCTCAGCGTGATTTCTGTGAGCATGTTCCAGGCTTCTGCTGGGATCCTCTTCTGCCCTGGCACGCTGCACCCAGCTCCTGTTCTTCTCTTTGTTTTCTCTTATCTCACGGACACCTTTTTTTACTGATCTCATACCCTTTGTGGAACCTTCTTAATTCTGCATTAGAGAAGATAAAGATGATCAGAGCAGAGCCTGGTACCCTGAGGAGCAGCTTCCCTCTCATCACGATAGATCTGTCTGCGTTGTGCTGGAGCACGTCTGCAGTTCTGGCAGCTGGTTTGTCCTGAGCAAGGTTTTTGTTAGCTAACAGCTCTGCCCTGGATGTTTCTTTCAGTGGCTGTGCTGGTTTATAAAGTAGTGGTATGGTGTGGAGTTGTGTGTTTACTTGGAGGAGAAGGTTTTCAGTGTGTGGGATTGGGGAAGCTCCTGAGAAAAACGTTGAACCTTGCTAGCATGGCTGAGGCTGTAGGGATGGTGGCACAGCAAAGCTCCTGGCATCACTACCAACAGTCAAGACTGATTCTGCTGCCCTGTTTAGCTCAGCTCTGTCACTCCCCTCCGCTCATGTTCCTGTCCTACGTCCCTGCCCGTGTATTACAGCTGCCATCTCCTGGTATGACGAGTTCCAGAGGCTCTACGACACAATCCCTTGTGTGGAAGTGCAGGCCCTGAAGGAACACAATGACCAGGTTTTGCACCTCAGCTTCTCCCACTCTGGCTGTTTGTTTGCATCATGCTCCAAGGACTGCACTGTCAAGGTAAGGCCGCAGCCTCCCCTGCCCAACCCTTCCAGCTTTGATTCAGTGGGGCTGAGCCCTCGGGAAGTCTGTGGTGGGTAGAGGTTTGACCAGGTGTTCTTGGGCTTAGGCCAGTTCCTGCAGATGTTGAGTTGTTCTAAAGCCACGGAACTAATGACTCGTGCAGATGTAGCCTTGAGGGCTGTGGATTCCAGCTCCAGCCTGCGTGAAGGTGGCAGAGGTGTCTGTCTGGCTCTGGTTGCTGTCTAGCTGCAAATCAGTCCTGTTGTGCTGTGGGTCTAACAGACTGTTGTCTGTTAATGGTCCACTGCAGAAGTTGTCTCGCATGAGTGGTTGTCTTAGGAGAAATCTCTCTGAACATGCTGAAAAATCCAGCTGTGACAGTACCATTCCCTGCCTGAACACCTTCTCCACTGGCTGATGGAGAAGCAGTCCTGCATTTAGCCACTCTAAAGCTGTTGGCCATTTTCTGTCAGGGAACTGACAGGGAAATCAGGACTTGGAGGCAGTTAAATAGGGTCTACACTGTTGGTTCTTCCTTGTTCTGGTGACTGCCGGCAGAACAGGTAAAGTGGAATCAGTCTCTGGCTTCTCAGCAGCTTCCTGACTGTTTGTCTGTCTGTCTGTAGATCTGGAGCAATGAGCTGGACATCTCCCTGCAGCACAGCTCCAACATGAGGCCGTACAACTGGAGCTACACGCAGTTTTCTCAGTTCAATGCTGACGACTCCCTCCTCCTGGTGTCAGGTGTTTTTGTGGGGCCTCACAACTCCTCCTCAGGAGAGATTGCTGTAATCAGCATGGGTAAATACTGCCCTCGACTTCACTGGGCCTTCCTGGGAGGTGTGACATGGTGGGTGCTGGGTTCCCTTCCTCCTCAGGCGTGCAGTGGCCTTGACCTCTGCTTGTCCTGCCTTCTGTCTGCAAAGGGCTGCTGGTTGCAGCTTTGTAGGGTAAACCTTTCGGACAGCCTTAGCTCTGCTCAGGTTGCCACGTCATCACCTAAACGCGGCGGGGCACGTAACTTCTGTTCTAAGCCACGGTCTGGGTGAGGCAAGAGTCTTGTGTGTTACCTGTTGCACTGAAGCCACTGTTCCTGACCCAAGTGGTGCTAGTCCCACCCGGAGGTCTCGCCTGGCTTTGAGGTGCGTTCGGGTCTGCTTCGCCTCCTCTGCTGCAGTTCTGCAAAACCTGCTAATGCCAGTGGTGTTCACTCTCATGTCTGAGCTACAGCCCCACTTGCCAAAAACCAGGGAGTGCTGCTGCGTGCACAGCTGTCTTGTTGAGGACGGCCCTGAGCCCCGGGGGTGGGAGTGAACAAGTGTCCTTGTTCTTGTCCTTGGGGTGCCTGCCCTGGGCCGTGCTGGGGCAAGGCTGTGAGGCTAGGTTGCTCTCTGGTCTGGCTCCACCTGGCTGCCCTTTTATTTGGGTTTCCTTTATGCATGCTCTGCCCACACATCTCTGTCGAGGAGAGAAATAATCATAGAATCACAGAATGGTTTGGGTTGGAAGGGACCTTAAAGATCACCCAGTCCCAACCCCCCTGCTGTGGGCAGGGATACCTTCCACTAGGAATAATCTGTCTCCATAGTAGCGTCTGGAACTGGGTGGTGGTTGTGCAGCATCCGCTCAGCCTGTGGTGGAGGTGCTGCATCAGCACCTCTGCTGCGGAGACTCGAATCCATTTCCCACTCTTCTGCCACTGTCTCTTTCTTCAGAGCCCTTGACGGAGCCATCGCCTCACACTTGTGTTTCCCTTCCCTTCCAGAGAACTTCACTCTGCTCTCCAGGGTGAGGAATAAACCCTATGATGTGTTTGGCTGCTGGCTGAATGAAACCAACTTGATCTCTGGCAATCTGCATCGGATTGGGCGTATAACCTCCTGTTCCGTGCTGTGGCTGAACAACGCTTTCCAGGTGAGTGCCTGTGTTCCAGCTCCACAGGCAGCACAGCTTCCTCCTGGCTCCTGGGGGAGGAAAGCTGCGGAGGAGGTGTGAGCAGGGAAGAATGGCCCAATCTCCCTGTCCTCCTTGTTTGTCTCCTCTGACTTGCCCTCTGGGAGTTGAGCTTGAGGCAACCCTTGTGTTAGGTTTCTCCGCGTTGGCTGTTGTGGTACCCACTGCGTTATTCTAACTCTGCCCTCGGATTCCATTAGCTCCTGCACCATTCGTTGGGATGAGGAGGTGACTGCGCTGCCCTGGAGCATGTGTTGCTCCTTGGGAGAGCGGCTGGACCACAGCAGGGTTACTGAGGTCCACGGTGGAATGAAGCTGGGCCTGGCATGGCTGTAGTCTCGCATGTGTCTGCACAATGTTCTCCCACTGGGCAGCTCAGTGTGTGGTTCCCGGGAGCTGGAGGCAGCTCAGAGGCTGAGCTGAGCCCTGCCTGTCCTTGTGGGCATCTCTGTGGGCCAGGTGCTGCCTCTTGTGCTGTGATGAGACCAGGAGATCGGTGTGTGTTGGCCTTAGGCTGCCTGTTTGCTGCTGTTCATTCTCTGCTGCTTGTGCTGCTCGGGCGTGTTCTTCTTCCGTGCTTTTGCCTTTGTCCCGTCGTCACAACTGCACATCCTGGTGTTCTGCATTTGGTAACGTGAACGGTTGATGCTGGCCCTGGGTGAAATCCTCTGGTAGCAGAGACCCTTCCGTAACCACATCTGTAGTGTCAGCACATCCCTCTCCAAGAGGTGAGGAAGGACCTTGCCCTCTTTGACGGTGTGTGGAAGTGTGGCCACAGCTGCCAGAGCAGTTGGGCAGGAAGAGACCTGTTGCTTGTGTCTGGGAGCAGGGAACCAGGCTGGGCCTGCTGAGGGGTGCGGGCAAGCTCCCGGAGTGCAGAGATGCTCTGCCTCTGCTGCTTGAAGGCCAGGGGGATGGCACTTCACACTCTGCCTGTGTTTATCCCAGAGGCCTGTTCCTGAAATTCCCATCAAGCCCTGAGCAGAGCCAGCTGCTTCCTTGGGGCGTGGCATGGCAGCCAGGCTGCCCACCCTCCGTGTTCCCCAGTTTGGCTGTGGTCTGCCTGCAGGAGCTTTTTGCTCGGTGTGCCCGCTCCAGGGTGGGAAGGAGTGCAGCAGTGCTGCGCAGCTCTTGGGCCAGCTCTCCTGGTCAGTTCTCCATGCAGCAGCGAGAAGAGAGGTCGGTGTGCAGCTGGAGTCTGCTCTGTGGGCTCGAGGCCTGGGCTCTTGGTTTGAGCGTAGGGGTGACCTTCCGGTGAGGTGGTTACTGCTCCCTTCTGCCTGCAGGGCATCGAGTCCGAGAACGTGAATGTGGTGAAGAGACTGTTCAAAATCCAGAACCTGAACGCCAGCACTATCCGGACCGTGATGGTGGCTGACTGCAGCCGGTACGATTCTCCGGACCTGCTCCTGGACTACGAGGAGCAGCTAGCAGCTTCCTCCACCTGCCCAGTCTTTGATCTTGGTAGCGACAGCGAGGAAGAGGCAGCCAAGCCCAAGCAGACTCCGGAGCCAGCAGTACAGGAATTGCCAGATGAAGGGGGTGTGCCAGCAGAGGACGGGCTGCAGCAGTTCTTTGATGATATCATGGAGGGCTGCGTGAGGCCCGCCATGACCGAGACAGAGCTGGAGACAAAGGTGGCCGAGCTGTTTGTACGCAACAGAACTAAACCTCCTGAGCTGAACCTGCTCTCCACAGACAGCAACAGCAAGACAAAATACTTAATCTTCACTACAGGATGCCTCACCTACTCCCCGCACCAGATAGGTAAGGCTGTGGTCTGAGCTGGGGCGCTCCAGCATCCCTGGGGGTGCGGGCTGCAGCTGCGCTCTGCGTTTGACTCTGGAAAAGATTTTACTCGCTGCCTGCTTGTGGTGAGTTGCAGTTTTGCTCAGGCTGCTGGATTCTCCATATGGGAGGCTTTTGAGATGCCCCAGTCACTGAAGGGGGTTCCACCCTGCATGCGCTTGCCTGAGGGTTGTTTTGTCGCTACCAGGCTTGACACGTGGCCAGACAAGACAGTCGTGGCAAGGGCTGAGCAGAAGATCAAGAAGGAACTCCTGACTAACGACAGCAGCCACGAGTCGCACGCAAGTGGGTGGATGTGAAGGGCAGTGACTGCCCTGACGTGTGGAGGGGCCTCAGTCCTCTCCGCTCGTGGGGGTGGGGAGGGCAGGTGACTAGCTTGAGCAGCTGTGGGTTCACATGTTGCTTGCGCAGCGCCCCTCAACCTGCGAGACGGAGCCCTGCGTGTCCCTGTGCCTTGCCTGCCTCCCCCTGCCCGGGTGTGCTCACCCTGCACCACGAGGCCTTTCGAGCTCGGCGAGACACCTGGGCACCTCCGTTGTACTGAAGAGGCATCGCTGCCCCAGTGGTTGTTCCCGTGGTGGGCTGGTGCCAGGCAGCTTGCTGGGGCTCAGCGGGGCACGAGGGACAAGCTGCAGCACAGGCCGGGCAGTGGGGTCGCCGGTGACCTTCTTCTGGGTTAGGCCTTCCCTTGCTTACCTGGGGCTCTTGCTGAGGCACTGGGACTAGTAGGGCCTGAATTTACAGGAAGTGGGTGCAGTGGTGAGCAGAAGCAGGTAGTTTGGCTGCTTCTCCAAAAGCCCCTAAAACTAGCAGAGGAGTTTGGAAAGGACCAGACAGATCAGTAGGAATGTGGGGAGGGAAGGAGAGGTGCTGCTAGGCAAGAAGCCAGGCATCTCTAAAGCCAGACAGTTTCAGTTCCTCCTGCTGCTTGCACAATTACAGCCTTGCTTTCCTGCTGCAGCTCTTCTATCTGTTACCTGGTCCTGTACCAGTACAACCCAGTAGGGCAGGGAAAGGCAGTTCCCAAAAGCTGTAGGCAACTTGGAGAAGAGTCACTTGGTCTTTGCCCACCGACATTAGGAGTGTGACCTGGACTGGGTGTAGCTCTGCTCTGTGCTCCTGCCTGCATCTGGGTCCCCAGACGGATGGGGGCCGTTGGCTGCCCCCGGACGTGCGGGGTTGGTCTGTCCTGGCAGCCCTGCAGCTGCTGGGCTGAACAACGGCGCCTCGCGGGCCGGGGCCTGCAGCGAGTGAAGGCAGAGCGTGGTGCGGAGGCAGCACCTGCCTTTGGCTTTCCAGCGTAGCCTCCTGGGGCTGTGGGTGTTGGTGCCTTTTGAGCTCCGGTGACTCCCTGGCTAGCAGCCAGCCCCCACGGCACAGACTGGCTGTTCAGAGGGACAGAGGGTGGCTCAGCTCCTCTCCTAGCCATGAGTCACAGCAAACTTGTGTTTGTGCGTCAAACCAGCCTTTGTGTGTCTACTGTCTGCCCCCGGGGAGCTGGTACCTGGAAGAGCTCTCCCGTGCTCGTCCCCAGGCTGCCGGGCACCGGCGCGGCCTTGCCTGACGTGCAGCACGCAAGCGCTTGCGCAGGAGTTTCCTCCGAGCTCCTGGCTCCTTGTGCTGGTGGAGTCACGGGCAGAGCCTCCTTTTCTGCTGGCTTGTGTGCGTGGGGGCCGCGTAGCGGAGCTGGAAGTGGTTCCACAGCAGGTAGCGCTGCGGAAAGGAGGATGAGGAGGCTGGTGATTGGTGCTGGTGGGGTAGAAGAGCGATGGTTCGGCGCTGAAGGCCCTTGGGCTGCAGAGGTGTGCGAAGGGCCTTGGGCTTGAGGTGCAGTGTGGTGTCACCCCGACCTGGCTGATCTGCAGGAGAGGGCTAGAATCAAGGGTGTTCGGCAGCGAGTCCCTTGGAGCGGCGATGGGATGAGCCATCTCCCAGCTCCTCTTGGACCTGCTGAGGATTAAGCCCATGTGTGCCCAAGGGCTGAGGCCTTATGAGTCCTCCAGGGAGCTGTTGTGGATGGTGTCTGTTTGGGACCTCTGTCTAGGGCTGGAAGGGGCTTGACCCATAGCACCTGTCTCCCTTAGTCAGGAAGTTCAAAAGCTATAAATCACTTGAGCCCAGTTTGGGTTTAAACTGCTGTTTTTGAATCTTTCTGGGGATGACACCCCCCGCGCTTATCGGTGTCCGGGGGAAAACCCTGCCACAGCCCGTGTGTCTGCTGGGCCTTCTCCAGAGCAGATATTGCAGGAAATGGGCACAGCCCAAGGATTCATTTAGGAGCAAAACCTTTCTGCAACCAGAGCATCTCCCAGACCAGCGCAGCATCCGTGTGCCCCAGAGCACGCTGCAGTCTGGGCTGGGAGCGAGGTGTGGCTGCCCCAGCCAGGTGCTGGGCTTCTCCCTGGCTGGGGTGAATGTACCAGGGTGTCACTTAGGGGCAGGGTCCTGGCCAAAAGCCCCGCTTGGCAAGCTCGAAGGAGCCTGGCAGGGACAGCAGCCCTGTCCTGGTCCTCGGCCAGCAAGCTGATTCTCCTTTCTTAGCAGCACTAAGGGAAGCCCCTTCTTGAAGCCTTGGGACTTTCACCAGCCCTGCTGGCAGCTGCCTGCAGAGCCGCCTCATTCTGTTTCTGTCCCCAGGGATCAAAAGGATCCTGCCCCATCAGATGACAACTGCTGGGCCGGTGCTTGGGGAGGAGAGGCGCTCAGATGAGTTCTTTGATTCACTGGATCACGTCATCGACATCCACGGGCACATCATTGGCATGGGCCTCTCCCCAGACCACAGGTGAGTGTGCAGGGTGGCAGGGGCAGCAGCAGCCATGGGGCTCTGGGGGTGAACGGGAGAAGAAACGACTGTAGTGGATGGAGCAGGGAGCCTGCACAGGCTGCCCCGCTCTTTCACATCCCATTTATGTTCTCATAGCAATGGCTTGTGTACAGCCTGAGCTTCTCCCTGGGCAGGCTTTCCTCCCTCCGTGCTGAGCCCTGGTCAGCACAGGATCAGGCAAGGGGCCCTGTGAGAGTGAAGGAGCTGCCTGCACTGATGGGCCATGTTCCCAC